TTTCGAGGCTTCGAATCAATCCGACACCCGTCTCCACTGTGACACCTAGTGGTCACTTGCAGGTGTTGATCTGAAACTACCTTGACAAGCCATGAAAATTTGTTGTTTTTTTATTATTGTACTTTTCCAATATGTGAATCTTGTAACCTATAGGCTCCTCACTGTGCATAATGTTATTTTGGGACTGCAAAATGGAATATTAATAAAATAAATCAAGCCACAATGTCTCACTTTTTTACACATATTTTTATTCAAAAATATTAATTTATCTGCTGTCGAAGGACTCAGCCTACTTCTTTTTTTACAGATAATTTCTCCAGCCTTTGAAAAAATCCTCTCACAAGGGACACTTGTTGCTGGCATGCAAAGATATTTTTTAGCTAATACATACAAATGAGGAAAGATTACTGCTCTCTCTTTCCAGTAAGTTAGTGGATCATGAGTTCTGGGCAAATACGCATCGTTGATGTATTTTTTCACTTCCACTGTGGCATCAGCTGTAGTATTGTGTATCATCTGGGTTTGATGGATACGAGTATCAAAAAGTTCCCATAAACTGTCCCGTGTTTCTACTGGTGTTGTTGATGGTGATGGTGATGGGTCTGATGTTGACATTTCTGGCTCTGAATAAAAATGAAAACAGCAATTAGTAACAAATGCTAAACTGACGGCATATATGAAGTATATATTACATGAATCAGATTACATAACATAACACAGACTGAAACTGCTCACCAGGATTTGAGTTTGAACGCATCAGTGAAGCACACTCCAGTGTCATGTGCTTTTCAGCGTCCTGGGCTTTGGCCATTTTATCTATCTATCCAAATCTATCTAGATATGTATCTCTAATCTATCTATGTAATTAGATATATGTATCTACAATCTATCTATGTATTTAGATATGTATATATAATATGTATCTATAATATATCTATGTATTTATATATGTAGCCTATCTTTAATCTATCTATATATGTATCTATCTATCTATTAATCTAGCTGTCTATATATATTTATATCTATGTATCTATGTATCACGTGACATGGGTGTTTTGAATCACGCTTCGGATCAGTGTTTCGAAACATCTGCGCTTTCGGGATCTCACAAAGCTTTGGAACGACTGTTTCGCGTCAGCCATCCCTACCGAATTCCCCCCTCCCGACATGCGCTTCCTCGCGCCGTACATGGTGAAATAAGGGAGGGGGGTGGGCGTCCTAGAGTCCTCCATGGACTGTTACCAGGGACCGATGGCGGTTCGGGAGACCAGGGTGGAGCAGGTTGTTCGGACAGCCATGGCGGAGACGGTATGGCACTATGGCAGATGATTTTAAACACATCACATATTCATACTTTATAAACTGGTTTTATTAATACAAAATGAAATCGGAATAGTCTGAATAAATAAACAGTAATTCTCTATTGATTTCACAAATGCCCTTCCAGTGACATTCCAATACCATGACCGTTCCAATTTAATTTTTTTGCTGTTTTTGTTTTTTATCTTGAGTAAAAGTTGTTATTCCTTCATAAGGTTTTGTGACGTGTAAGTAACATGATTTCTCTAAAATCATAATCTTTTAAAAAAAGGAATTTGCTTTGCAGAGGTTGGGAACTATCAAAATAGTCTGGGACAAGAGATGGAGGAGGACAGTGTCTTGAATGCACAAATGACTGTCTGCAGTGTAAGCTGTACTGATAAATGTATAGTTGCTGCTTCTTCTAACTGTCCCCAATTTATTTCCTGTTCAAATGTTCAAAGCTTTCAGCAAATACTGAGTCAAATACAGGTTCAAAATATGTATTTTAACAATTAGGTATATAACTTTAAATAGATACTCTTTAATCTGACATAAATGTGCTTCTTTAAATATTGTTTCTGGAATTTCAATATATAGCATAATAAATTTGAAAAGATTTCAATCTCACTGTGTACACTAATGCTTTAAAACCTGTTTGTGTGGTGTCGCTACTCATTTAGATGGAACCCAGATGATCCCTAGTTGGGCCACATGCATATGATTCCTAGTTGGGCCCCACCTAAAGCCCTGTGAAATCCTGCATAAAACCTAAATGAGTAAGTTGCTGGGGCCAACATGGAACCCTTGGACAAACCCACTTACAGCCCGTATTTCAGCCCATGTAGTAACTTTGTAGTACCCACAAAAAAACTAAAATTAGGACCAAGATGGGTCTTGTGCATGGAGCTCAGTTGGGGCCCACCTGTTTATAAGTGCCATTCTATAGGAAATCCATGTGGGCAGGTGGCATGGGGCCATTATGGAACCCATAGACAATCCCATACAGAGCCCATTTCTTAGGCCATTTTAAACCCACATATGGGCCCCACATACAAATGTCGGCGGGGTTAATCTGGGACCGAGATGGGTCTTGTGCATGTTGGTATGAAATGGGCTGAAAAATGGGCCCCATGTAGGATTGTCCGCAGGTTTCATAATGGCCCCATGTTAATTGCCCAGATTGATTTCATGTAGGATTGCACTTGGTACTAGGTGGGACCCAAGTGGGCAATATGTCCATCTCTTGACAGGGTGAATAACAATATGAAAGGGTGGACAACAATATGACAGGGAGGACAACAAGACGACAGGGTGGACAAGAAGACAACAGGGTGGACAACAATATGAAAGGGTGGACAACAAGATGACATGGTGGACAACAAGATGACATGGTGGACAACAAGACGACATGGTGGACAACAAGATGACAGGGTGGACAAAAATATGACACTGGACAACAAGACGACAGGGTGGACAACAATATGACACTGGACAACAAGACGACAGGGTGGACAAAAATATGACACTGGACAACAAGACGACAGGGTGGACAACAATATGACATGGTTGACAACAATGTGACAGAGTGGACAACAAGACTACAGGGTGGACAACAATATGACATGGTGGACAACAAGACGACAGGGTGGACAACAAGACGACAGGGTGGACAACAATATGACAGGGTGGGCAACAATATGACAGGTTTGACAACAATGTGAGAGAGTGGACAACAAGACTACAGGGTGGACAACAATATGACAGGTTTGACAACAATGTGACAGAGTGGACAAAAAGACTACAGGGTGGACAACAATATGACAGGGTGGACAACAATATGACAGGGTGGACAATAAGATGACAGGGTGAACAACAATATGACAGGTTTGACAACAATGTGACAGAGTGGACAACAAGACTACAGGGTGGACAACAATATGACAGGGTGGACAACAATATGACAGGGTGGACAAAAAGACGACAGAGTTAACAACAAGATGACAGGATGGAAAACAAGATGACAGAGTGGACAATAAGATGACAGAGTGGACAACAAGATGACAGGATGGAAAACAAGATGACAGGGTGGACAACAAGATGACAGGATGGAAAACAAGATGACAGGGTGGACAATAAGATGACAGAGTGGACAACAAGATGACTGGATGGAAAACAAGATGACAGGGTGGACAACAATACGATAGGGTGGACAACAAGACGACAGAGTGAACAACAATATGACAGAGTGGACAACAAGACTACAGGGTGGACAACAATATGACAGGGTGGACAACAATATGAAAGGGTGGACAACAAGATGACAGAGTGAACAACAATATGACAGGTTTGACAACAATGTGACAGAGTGGACAACAAGACTACAGGGTGGACAACAATATGACAGGGTGGACAAAAAGACGACAGAGTGAACAACAAGATGACATGATGGAAAACAAGATGACAGAGTGGACAATAAGATAACAGAGTGGACAACAAGATGACAGGATGGAAAACAAGATGACAGGGTGGACAACAATACGATAGGGTGGACAACAAGACGACAGAGTGAACAACAAGATGACAGGTTTGACAACAATGTGACAGAGTGGATAACAAGACTACAGGGTGGACAACAATATGACAGGGTGGACAACAATATGAAAGGGTGGACAACAAGACGACAGAGTGAACAACAATATGACAGGTTTGACAACAATGTGACAGAGTGGACAACAAGACTACAGGGTGGACAACAATATGACAGGGTGGACAACAAGATGACAGGATGGAAAACAAGATGACAGAGTGGACAATAAGATGACAGAGTGGACAACAAGATGACAGGATGGAAAACAAGATGACAGGGTGGACAACAAGATGACAGGGTGGACAATAAGATGACAGAGTGGACAACAAGATGACTGGATGGAAAACAAGATGACAGGGTGGACAACAATACGATAGGGTGGACAACAAGACGACAGAGTGAACAACAATATGACAGGTTTGACAACAATGTGACAGAGTGGACAACAAGACTACAGGGTGGACAACAATATGACAGGGTGGACAAAAAGACGACAGAGTGAACAACAAGATGACAGGATGGAAAACAAGATAACAGAGTGGACAACAAGATGACAGGATGGAAAACAAGATGACAGGGTGGACAACAATACGATAGGGTGGACAACAAGACGACAGAGTGAACAACAATATGACAGGTTTGACAACAATGTGACAGAGTGGACAACAAGACTACAGGTTTGACAACAATGTGACAGAGTGGACAACAAGACTACAGGTTTGACAACAATGTGACAGAGTGGACAACAAGACGACAGAGTGAACAACAATACGATAGGGTGGACAATAAGATGACAGAGTGGACAACAAGATGACAGGATGGAAAACAAGATGACAGAGTGGACAATAAGATAACAGAGTGGACAACAAGATGACAGGATGGAAAACAAGATGACAGGGTGGACAACAATACGATAGGGTGGACAACAAGATGTGACAAGATGTCCAATCACTCATCTCCATCCGTTACATTCAACGCATGCAGATAGTCTTTAATATATACCATTTCTGGGGGTTTATCAGAAGAAGATGATTTATCAGAAGAATTCATAATCATTTGTTCTCCATTTCCAATATTTATTACAAGCTCAAAGCATTATGGGTAGAATCTCTGTACAGTCTATTCTGATACATCAACAAGTTTCACTGATGATCTACAATAAACCCTAAACCCAGGATAGAGCGGTTGAGTGAATGTGGTCTGGACTGTGTGTATGAGGCTCATTGTGTCTCTGTCGACGCTGTAGAAGGACAGAGTTCCTGCACTGTAATCCACATACACTCCTAGTCTACAGTTGATGAGCTTTCCAGGGAGATCAGTCCATATCTCATTGTGTCTGAATGAGTAACAGGAGAAAGAGCAGGACAAACTCCAGGACTGATCATTATATCCAAACCGAGACTTATTATACCGTCCCTTCCTGCAGATGCTCTTATATGACACTGATATACACACACTCCCACGCCACTCAATCTCCCAGTAACAGCGTCCACACACACTCTCTCTACACAACACCTGCTGAAACACATCAAATCTGTCTGGATGATCAGGATACGGCTGGACTATGCTAGCGTCAGTGAATTTAATCACTCTGTTATTCCCAGACAGAAGAAGGTTTTTATGTGCTGTGTTCAGATCCAGATTGAGCGGATGGGAATCTGATGGAGATAAAACATATCAGAATCAGGATCAAGTATGAATCTTTTAATGTACACTGTAAAAAAAATATTGTTAGTGCTTGTTAAACAATTAAAATGAGTTAAAACCACACAATTACTGAACATTTTGACTTTACCTATTTTTGTTGTGTAATATCCACATGAATATGTAAAACTGAAGCTTAATCCATTTGAACTATCTGAATAATTAGTGTTGAATTAACTTGTGCCAGTGTATTTTTAGTTCCCAGCATGCTTTGCATATGTCTTGATCAGGAGAGTAAATGTTGAAATTAAGTGCTATTTTATGTGTTTTGCCTGTTAGTGTTTAATGTTCAGTTATGTTTGACATGTTTCAGTTATGTCAGTTTTGTTCAGATGAGTGTTTGTGTTCAGGCTGTGAGAGGCGACATGACAAACATCATGTGTCGCTTCACTCAATCAGCAAAACCTGCACTCATGCCAGCACTGAGACGAGTCTCTTCTTACTTCTTCATCCCGTATGTTACACACAATAACAATAAACATAAGTGTCTTTAGCATTTGCTAGTTATTATCTACAGCAGGAACTTAAATCTATACGTTTGGTTCAACAAAACATTTGTTTAAATTAACTTGTTTTAGTCTTGTTGTACGGACCTCAACTAATTGTGTGGGAAAGTTGTTCTTAATTTCAAATGATGACATCTCAAAAATATTTTGTCTGTTCGATCTGGGGGGAAAAAAGTGGCTCCAATTTTTTTGAAAATGATTTTCCTTGGCAAAGAAATTACAAGGTTGTACTTCACTGAACTTGATCTGACTGCTTCCATGTTTAAGTGCTATAATTGGGTCCCCGGGGGATCTTCCAACCCAGAAAATGTGACAACCCAGTAACTTTGTTTTGTTAAGCCTTTCTCTGCAAGCATGTCAAAAAATAAGCCGATCAGATTTGGCTCCCCTTCTGATGTAAGAAGAGGATCTTATTATAATATTACCGCCCCTTAATCTGCACGTTTCCACCCACGGCAGCCATTTGGTTTTTGCAAGCGTCAACAGTGTAACCAGTTCTAACGCAATGGCAAAAGATCCAGCAAAGCATGAAACTGTTCTGTCGTTGCTGCACAGACGAGCACAGAACACTATTTGACCAAAAAATGTCAAAGCTGTCTTATATTTTTATAACTTAATGGGAATGTTATGGAAACGTTCTTATAGCCTAAAATTGTTAGCCGGGTTAATCCGTTATCTGTGAAATCGGGAGTATATAAACTACAACAGACAAGCCTATATTAGTTCTCAGCGGAGTTGGTTCAAGCAGTGTTTTTAAGTTTTATTAAAATTTTATGAAAATTGCATTTAAATGTCATTGGGAACAAAATAAGATGCGTGATACCATTGTCTGCGTGCCCTAGGTCAGAGGTTCCCAAACTTTTTGCCTCGGGCCCCCCCTATACATATGGCATACCTGCCAACATGTACGCATTTTGCGTAGAGGGCACGCATTTTGACCTCAAAGTACGCTGGTACGATTTGTCACTCTAAACTACGCAAAAACCTGGTTACGTCTCTTTGCACGCGCAGTCCTCAAATCAAGCAACAGCAAAAGAAGAAGAGTTCGACCAATCATAGCGCTGGGTTCATTCCCCACATTGCAAGCGGAGATGATTGACAGATGCGTAATTAAAAAGAGACTGAAAATCGACACCAATAAAGAATCCCTCTCGATCCACGCTCCACTCCCACGCGCCCGCGTTCTGACTGATTTAAGCGAGGACAGTCGGCCTACAGTCACGGTACTTCTGACTCCTGAAGGTAAACGGGCTGGGGTGGATGTGGAAAGTTGAAATATTGTATTTGAGTTCAATTTTAAAATGGATTGGTCATCAAACGGGACGGGAGTGATCGCATGGATTATTTAAAAAAATACTCCGTAATTCATTCATGGTAACTCAGATAAGAGGAAGACATTCAGCCATGCAAATTATAAAATACTCAAGTAATGTTGAACAATAAATCTTCGCCTTTTCAAGGCTTGGGCCCTAATAAAATTGAAATCGCTATGTCTTAGTGATTATGAAAGTGCTGTGATTTGTGGATGACTGATAACGTTAAGCGCGAATCCGGAGAAACAGGCGTTTATTTTTTCATTATCAGTGTTGAGAAGTATCGCATGTGTTACGTTATGTATTATGTTAATAACTAAAGTACCGAATTATGTTACATATTTATTTTGTATGAAAACTAGCGAGTTAGTTGGTGAATTTGTGGATTAAAAATGACAGTTGTATGATAGCCTATCATCAGTGCTGCGCGAGCTCTCTCACAAACACAGACTCGTGCACACAGAGAGAGAAGATATTTATAAAATAAAAATTGACAGGCAAAGTTCTTGCTTGTGTTTTGTTATGTCAAAATGTCAAAGCTTTTTGTATTATCCATTCGTGTTTTTAAAATTCGTTAATGACGGACGCTTTACTGTTAACAGCCCTCATTATATTATGTCAGATTCGTCTTATTCGAAAACTTATATTATTGGTCATGTGACAGGACTCCTGTCTATTCATTGTTAACTGTTTTCTATAAATATGTTTGGATTGGCTAAAGTTTATTCAGCTAATGCGTGTCCTGTTTGTAGCCTAATGTCCAAATGTCAAAATAGCACGTCACAAATATAAGCCCTTTTCACTGTGGGATTTAATATTATATTTGTATATTGGAATAATAAATTAAGTAGCCAATTTAAAATTATAACATGTAGGCTACACACCGTTTTTTTTTTGTTTTTTTTTTACTGTTATCTAGGGGTTTCTTAATTTTAGACTAATTGACCAGCGCGGGTGTACTCATGGTTGTACTCATACAATTTCTTCTAGGTTGGCAGGTATGATATGGGTCACATCTCGCATTATTAGTTAGCATCCAAATGTTACATTGCAAATATGGAAACTTTGGACCGAATGAGAGATGCGCGAAACCATGGTCAGTGCGGTTTCAGTTTCGATTCAAATAAATTCGTTGTTTATAATAAAGGGCACAATAGGCTATTTTTATAAGCTATTATATTTTTATTATATGTGGCTACTCTTTTTTCATTCTTTTGAATTTTTTTTTTTTATTTTTTTAGCTTTTTTTGAACATGAACATCAGTCAAAAATTAAGTGTTAACAGTGATGTTTTAGGTTGTTTTTTTTACCCCTTACCCCAGCTTAATGCACCCCCCCCCAAAAAAATAAAAATAAAATAAATAGATAAAAATACAGAATAGCACAGATAAAAGGGAAAATAAATAACAATTACACAGATCAATTAGGAGTTAGATCTCAGAGAAGACAATAAATAAACAATGTTTAGACTTTACATGACTAGTAAGTTTACACATAGGTAAAAGAATAGTTTTTTTTTTTTTTTTTCTTCTCACTTTTTATAGTGCATTCTCAATTTGGGACAGAAAGGGACCCCACATTTTCATAAACAAATCATGACGTCCCGAGGCTCTATATATCACACGTTCATAACTAGCGCTATTTGACATAAGTTCCAACCATTCATCATATGAAGAAGGTGTGTCTGACTTCCAATGTCTCAGAATGACTCTGCATCCCGAACCCATAGCTAAACGGCACCATAGCATCTGTTGTCGAGATATTCGCATATCCTCTGGTATAATACCCAACATACACAAGGCAGGGTTCTTATATAATGACAGGCAAAAAATGTTATTAACAAATTGTACAATTTTCTCCCACATTTCCTCTACCATGTCACATTCATATAACATATGAACCATAGTTCCTATATCTTTGTTACATCGCCAGCATAGTGCAGTATCTCTCAGTTTAATTCTAGCCAATCTGCTTGGAGTCCAGTAGCATCTATTCAAAATTTTGTAATTTATCAACTGGGATTGAATTTCACGAACATTAGTATGCCATTTTGATACAACCTGTTTCCAGGTTTCTTCATTGATCACCCCCCCTAAATCTCTTTCCCATGCCACTTTAAGACCATTTAAATTAGGTGCATTGACACCTCTAATATAAGCGTAGAAAGCTGAGCCCATCCCCTTTTTGTGACTGTTAGCGGCAGACAGAAGCTGTACATCTGTTGGTGGGTCAGGACCATTTTTAAGGGTTGCATGGAGACAATGTCTTATTTGAAGGTATTTCCAAAAGTCAGTGTTCGATAGTTTGTAGGTTTGTTTCAAGTGATTAAATGAGACCACATGTTCACCCTCATACAGGTTATCTAAATACCATATTCCCTTTTTAGCCCACTGCATCCAGCAGAAAGCCCTCCTATCTATTCGTAATTTGGTGTTGTGCCACACCGAGGCTCTAGTTGTTAGCCACGGGGTTTGTTTTGAATGTTGGTGATACAATTTCCAGCTATCCCTAGTAAATTTAAGAACTGGATTTTGGTCTGGTATTGATCGGGCAAGCTGTGTCAAGAAGGCCTCCGCTGGAAAGGGGGCAATTAGTTCTTTTTCAATATGCACCCAGGCGGGGGCTTCGTTGAAAGCCATATTGTTTTTAGCCAGCTGCGAGAGCGAGAAGGACCAATGATACCAGTCAATTCTGGGAAGAGAAAGCCCGCCTGAACCTTTAGCAGAATACAATTTAGTACGATTAAAAAGGGGTTTCTTCCCCTGCCAGATGAAGGATTCTACATATTTATTGTATTCCTTCAGAAGGGATGGTGGCATCCCAAGGGGAAGCATGTATGATAGATAATTAATTTTAGGTACGATTATCATTTTAACTAAATTAATACGACCCAGAATGGACATTGTAAGTTTACTCCAGTTCTGTAACAAATTTTGGATATCCTGAATAATTGGTTGAAAGTTAGTCTGCATTATTTTTTCCAATCCTGGTATAAGTTTAATTCCCAAATAAACCATGCCTGATGAGACCCGCCTAAATGGCCATTGGTCCCCTGTTATCCCATGGCAATTCTTAGACATGGGCATTACTTCTGACTTTGACCAATTGATTTTATAGCCAGAGATCTGGGAAAAA